AATCTTGGACACCAAGCTAACCTTGATACCACACATGAAATAATAAAAAATAGAGGTCCATAAAAGCTATGAACGTTATAAAAGTGTTGTCTCGCACCACGTGGGGAAGCGACAAGAAATGTTTATTGAATTTGTATAAAAGCCTTGCATGTACCCACCTGGACTATGGGGCAATATCATATCAGTCTGCAACACCCACTGCTCTTAAAATGCTTGACCCTGTTTATCATCTAGGCATCCGTCTCTCCATGGATGCTTTTCGCACTAGCCCCGTGGAAAACCTGTACGTGGAATCGAATGAGTGGTCGCTCCACCTACAGAGATGTTACATGTCTTTTAAATATTTTCTTGATTTATATGCAGACAAGGATCGCCTATCACATTCCATACTTAATGACATGTCAAGTCTTACTGTGTTTGAGAAACGGCATTCTATAAGACAGCCCTACTCCCTCCTTGGGAGGGGCCTAGCCAACGAAACCGGTGTGCCACTTGAAAACCGTTGGATGGCTCCGCAGTATGCCTGGCACCGTGGCAATGGCAGGCATTACATTGCGATGTGTCTTTCTTGGAGGTTACGAAGCATGCACCGATTGCACATATCAAGACATACTTCCTAAAACAACAACAGTAATACACATGTCCTGAGTTCTTCACCGATGCTTCAAAGTCCAACACTTCTGTCTCGTACGCAGTCGTCGGCCCATTCTTTTCGGAAGCAGGCGTTCCGCACTCTGATTCAAGCATTTTTACCGGCGAAGCTTATGCGATACTCGCTGCCGTCAAACACAATAAACAAATAAAACTACAGAAAGCAATAATATATACCGATTCCCTCAGCGTAGTAAAAATACTGAAAATTTTAAAAAGCACAAGAACCCTTTCCTTGTCTCGCTTTATTCGCTTTTATGCACAGTCTATTCATCTAAGTAGCATGTTGTAGTCTACTGGGTGCAAGTACACCACGAAATACAAGGCTACGTTCTGGTGGACCAGCTAGCTGGATCCGCCAACAAAACCGCTTCCAATATATCGATACCAGTTCCTGCACTCACCTTGAAACCTTTTCTAAAACAAAGGCTCAGGGGCTACTGGCAGAGCGCATGGGACACACACACAGGTAATAAATTGCATGTCATCAAGCCGCACCTTGGTCATTGGCTGCCAGTATCAAAATCACGCCACACAGAAGTAATTGTTACAAGTTTAAGAACAGGACATACACCCACAACGCACGTTTAGCTTTTAGATAGGCACTTTCACCTGCTCGAGGCCTCAAGTATAGAAGTTGGTCAGTATCATAAGGAGAGAAAAGTGGACGTCGCCTCCGGGATGCAGACTTTGCGGTGACCATTTTGCAGTCCTGTTTTGACCACTTGGTTCCATAAACTCATCTTCGAAACGATGTCAACCCGACGTTGTTTTCTTTCTCGAATCAAACACAAAAGACAACCTATCACTCTCACGGTTACCAATGCACTCATTCATTTTAAATACAAAGCATTTCTAAACGAGCCCCAGCGACTTTGAACCTATCTATCTATCTATCAATCAATCTATCTATCTATCTATCTATCTATCTATCTATCTATCTATCTATCTATCTATCTATCTATCTATCTATCTATCTATCCAACTATCTATCTTCCTATCTATCTATCCATCCTAGCCTTCGTTACCAGTATCAATAGGATATTTATTAAGGCATCATATGACTCTATGGGAAGCATAATTGACTAGTCATAATAAAGCTATCAAGACATGTATGCCATGAATGTCATGATTTACATGTCATGGTGTTGCCGCTCTTGTGGTGGTTTCGTTCAGATGACGTGTTGCTAAACTGATATGGCATGACATAGACTGCATGGCGAACACAATTGACATACCCTAACGTGAAAATCATGGCATGCATGCCATGTAAGTAATGAGTCATGAGTACACGCCACGCTCATGGGGCGCTCAGGGTCGGTTCAATAATTTTGCATATACAAAACTTAGTATTACAGGGCGTGAATGCATGACGAACGTATGCGACTGGTGCAGACCTGATAATCATGAGATGCGTGTCATGTAACAACATAGGCGCGAAGATCTCTGCCAATTATCGCTCCTACCAAGCAACAATAAGCATGCGCTGCTGGCTTTGGAATGCCATCATACCAGAAAAAGTGCTTATCTTTGCATAAGTGACGCCTCTCTGTCCCAGCACCCATCAGAATTTGATTATGTTTCTCCGCGTATGTAATATACTGCTTCATTTTTCAACTGAAATTACACTTTTGTGTGTGCTGTTTGTCGATGGCGTGACTCATGTGCGATGTGGATGCCTTGGAGGTATATATGCATTGGCATTTCTCGAAATGAAATCAGTTGGTAGTGACCGCTTGTGTGTGTCGCCTCTTTCTTTGGGGTGTATCTGTGTTCTCGCTGTAAAAGTACCTCTATGGTCATGAAACAACTAGGCTCAAAAGTCGTTTTGCTGATGCAAAGAGGACACATGGCTGACGAAAACGAGCCACGCACGTATTGGTACCTGCTGACAATTATCAGATTTAAATGTTTCGAGTGTTCATCCGGAATCAAAAGAAAAGCGTGACGAACAAGTTCGAATGGCTGAGGCGTGCTAAAATTCAGTATCTTTAGCCGAGGCTGTATCATATAATACAAAGTTTTGAGTCATGGTGATTCAGCAACGAGCTGTGCCAGAGGTATTGCAAACAAGCGGACACTCTCCGGAAAACATTGCATTATGCTTTATGGGCGCCTGTCCAAATGTAAACTACAGAAATATTAAAAAAAGTTGCAGATCCCACGTACAGTGGGAATAGATACTATGCGAAGCACGAATGAGGAAGGTTAATAGGTCACTTCAAAATCGGCACAACGTTACGAGACGGAGGTAAATTATGCCGTACATGACTTCCATGTCATGGTTATCATATTTGGACGTTTCTATCTTCGTCATCTATTAACTTCACCTGATACCAACTTTGGTATATATGAAGCTAGCGAAACGGCCGCGAGCGCACTATGATCATTGCATCTATTAATGTTTCACATGACATCCATTTCGTGCTTACCATGTTTGGACGTCTCATTTACATTCGTCGTCCATTCAGGTCACGTAATACCAAATTTGGTATATGTGAAACTAGTGAACGGCAGCAAGAAAGCTATGAGCGTAGCATGAAGTCATATCTTATATAAAACGCATATTATGATTACCAGGTTCGGACGTGTCATTCACCTTCGTAGTCTATTCACTTCTCGTTATACCGAGTTTGGTACATGTGGAGCTAGCGAAACAACGGCGAGCGCGTCGTGAACGGCCCAATATACAACGACGCAACGTAGACTCGCGCGCAGGCTGGGCGCAGCGACGCCACGCTAGCGAAACGCGACCGGCGCGAACAGCGTCAGTCGGCGCGGCTCGGCTGCAACCGGCGCGTTATGCGACTTGCTGTATTTCGCACCAATGACGTTCCTTAAACGGCAACGTGTCTGCCACTCTACGTGACGGAGGGACGCCTTGTGCGCTCAAACGCACTTGCGTCAAAGCAACGCAGTGCTTGCTTTCTAGTATATGGCAGACAAATGCACAATGGAGGTCAGTGGGCAGATCCACTCATCTCTACTAGAAGGATATCGAACCTGGCGTGGTATTGCTGGCATGACGCAATGAAACGAACACCGGCGCGCACGCGCTCTGGTTCACGTGCATCACTGGTCCACAAATGCATCAGCAGTGTGGGACGTAGTCATGTTGTTACGTGACACGCATGTTTTGATCATTATGTTTGGACGTGTCATTTACCTATGTCGTCCATTCGCGTCACGTAATACCGAAGTTGGTACATGTGAAGCTAGCGAAACGGCCGCGAGCACATCATGAGCGTACCATGTGGCCATGTTTTTACATGACACGCATCTCACAATTATCATGTTTGTACCTGTGACATACCTCCGTAATCCAACCACGTCACGTAATACAGAATTTGGTATATGTGAAGCTAGCGAAATGGCCGCGAGTGCATCATGAGCACGGCATGTAGTCATGTTGTTACATGACACGCATCTCATGATTATCATGTTTGCACCAGTTTTATACCTTCGTCATCCATTCACGTCCCGTAATACCAAATTTGATATATGCAATGTTAGCGAAACGGCCGCGAGCACAGCATGACTGTGGCATGAAGTCATATCGTTACAAGACACGCATGCCATAAATTTTATGTTAGGGTCTGTCGCTTGTGTTCGCCATGCACTCATGTCATACCATACCAGTTTTGCAACATGTCATGTGAATAAAACCTCCGAGATAACAGCAAGACCATGATATGTATATCATGACATTTATGACATACATATCATGATTTTCATGTTGCGACTAGTCGGTTATGTTCGTCATGCAGTCATGCTATGTCACACCAAGTTTGGTATTGATGCCATAATTCAAACTGCCAGGACAGCTAAAAGTTGTGAGCAGCGACATAGATAAATAGATAGTTAGATACGCTCAAAGTCAGCGAAGTTGGCCAAGAAATGCTTCGCATTTAAATATTACATTTCACACTTTTCACATAACACCCCCTGTGTCCAATGCAGTTTCATACTGCAGTGAGTATTCAGTACAGTGGCTTTAACTCTTGTGAACAATAATCTCGGGCACCTTGAAATTAGGTCAAGTGAGAGTTCACCATATTATTTGTCTTAACACGATTTCTTCTGCAACAGGAGTCCTGGGTGGGTTCTGTTCGCAAAGCGCTTGAGAGCAGTGGCGTGGCTCTTTGGTAGCATACTCGAATGCTACGCAGACTTCTTGAGTTCTAATCTCATTCTATCCTGGGTATTTTGTTTTAATATTTTGTGCTAAGCAGCTCTGAGAGATCAGCAGTGGCGGATAACTGCGCCGCTAAAAATGGCTGCTGTGATGTCCCAATAGGTTTCGCTGGTAAAAGATTACTTTGTCCGTTGACGAATCAACACACATTCAGGGTCTACCTGGCCGTCGTGGTGACGTCGGCCAGCCAGGAGCCAAAGGATCCCATGGTGAGCAAGGCCCTCCTGGTCCTGAAGGTCCACCAGGTCGTACCGGAGACCAGGGTCTGCAGGGACCAGCAGGACCTCCTGGTCCTCACGGGGAGCCCGGGGAAAAGGTGTGTGTCAAATTATTTTTGCACACAATTGAAGAACACGCTGCCAGACACAAGACGGATGTTGCGAACCAAGTATCAAGGCCAGGCGTATGTTAGTCAAATCTAGAAATACTGGGTCGTGCTTTTGCGATGTTGTGATATACCTGATTATATTTCTACGCAAAGTATTGTTAGAAGTCGCAATAATTCACTTGATATTCTATAAACTTTCGTTCAGTACAATAAATTTATTTCTGTTTATGTCACGTGGAAAAAGATCCAGCACAATCCCAAAACTTTGAGAGCTCAAAGACAGGCATATTTTCTATTGGAGAAGTCCAAGATTATCGTACAAGAACTTCCTATGTTTTCCGAACGTCAAAAAAATAGTGAAGCTTATCTCTACCTTCTCCTTGTGAAGCGCACACATGTGGAAGCAGAGATATTTGTTGGGAACCACTATTTGTTGTAAATGCTGCCATATAAGCGAAAGGTTTGACTCCTAGGCTAGCACGTGTTTTGAATAAACATGTGCCACGTAGCTCGACCTGCTGTCTTCTTCGTTCATCCCTTATGACTTCTAGCATCCGAGACCACGGTGTCGTTCGTGTTTCAACCACCGGATGCCTTCAATGTTTTGTCGCCGAACGAGTGGCCGATATAGAAACAGTGCTTCGAGGAATTTGCTGTCTACATTTCCTGCCAAACGGTTGTGCCCCCGCGATCTCCGACGACAGTGCAGCTCTGGCCAGCTGGGCTCACCCTACGCCATCTCCTGACGCCGAAAGAGCTCTCGCCGAGTGGTGCCCCGTCCTCGGACTCCTGCGACCATGTTCGTCTTTCCTATCTTTTCCTTACTTCCGTCGTTCTCTGTCGTTCGCTGTCCCTGCGCCTCGCTCTCTCCTTTCTCTCTATCTCTTTGCCTTTTAATCCTATCCTTTTGATCCCTCCTTTACCCCCACCCTTCGTGAGCTACTCGTGAGGTGTCCTCTTCCTGAGAGACAGTTACGGGGCTCACTTTTCTATTCTTTGCTTTTAAAATCACTCACACACAACAGTGCTTCAAACGCTTCCCAAGTTATTCAGTTTTGTGCTAAAGCCTGAGAGCAACATCAAATAGACACACTACTTTACATCACGGGTGAGCGCAGCAACAAACTATATGGTACGTTCACTTTATCAGAGGAGAACTCCAAGAGATTCGTCGTAGTCTTGGAATACTTCGACGAGTTTTTTAAACAGTGACGCACCGTAATCATTCAGCTGGATTCAACACCAGAGTACAACGAGATGGTGAGTCGGCTGAAGATTTCCTTGCGCTCATAACGTTTTTAAAAGACCCCGAGTACAGTGTGCTTCGATAAGAGTTTGTGTTTGAATGCCTCGTGATTGGGATAAAATACAAGCAACTATAAGCTTGACGCAGACCTCACGTTACAGAAGGATCTCAATTACGTCGACCAGATCGACAGTGTGCCTTAAAAACAAGCGCAGCTCCTACAAGAAGTGCCATCTCTGAACATAGTTGCATCCAATGCAATTACAAGTCAGCATGCCTCAAATCAAAGAAAAAGCGGAAGTTATACACGAGGGGGGGGGGGGAATAAGTCGCCTTCAGCCCCGGGTAAAACTGAGAGCAGAAACCGCACTGTTGATGTTTTCAAGAGTGTCACTCTAGTACAATCTGGCCAGCGCACTCGAAAATCTACCCGAAAAAAGGCCACTGTGCCTCCGCATGCATGTTGCGACGATTCGATTGTATCGAGCCCGAGAAGGCAACCATAGAATCAGAATTCTTTAGAGCAATCAAGATGACGGATAATGGAAATTAGGAAGCAACAGTTCAACAAAACCCAGGTCGACGAAAGGGTCTTCCCGGTTAAGGTATTCGTGACGCTACAGGACAGACCTCTTCTTTCAGCTCTTCCTCGTGAACCACATAGTCCAGATGCAAAGCTTTTTCCAGCTGCAGGAGTGACTGAACTCGGGCTCATCAACCGTACTCCCGCGACAACTCAAAATATCAATGTCTTAGATCACATATGTACTGTGTTGCCAGGCAAGCCAGCTATCAAAAAGCTACAGATGCTGACATTTCTAAATGTCGTTGTCCTCGAAGTGAAACCAAAATAACAATTTCCAGTGGTGTTCCAAGGAGTCTGCAACCTGCTGAAACACATAGGTTTGATCTTCAAGCAGGAGAAAAACCATTTGTACTCATCTCTCCGAGGTGCATCCTAATGCTCTGCACTAGAAGACAGAACATGAACTTCCAACAATACAGAAACTCAGAGTCATGTCACCCACGAAGGAGCCGAATGAGCGGTGTGTACTAATGGTAGTTATTCCAATGCACTTTAGAGACGTGAAAATCTGCATCGACTTCAAAAAATCCACTGCATTGTTTTCACTTAATGGCATTCTATTTCTTACACACAGTACGCTCTTGGAAGGCTTTATGAAGCTAAGGCTTCCTACAAACTCGGGGCTAACTCCGGGTTTTGGCAAATTCCACTTTCTGAAGAATCGAAGGAACTTACCACGCTCACTTCACCTTTTGGAACCTGCTAATTGAAGCGACTACCTTTTGGCATTGCATCAGCTTTTGAACACTTTCGGACCCACGTGACGTAATTTTACTGGGCATCAGTCAAGTTGTCTGTCACATGGACGACATCCTCATCTAGTCTCGCAACAGCCGTGAGAATAACACTTCGAAACGTGTTGCAGCTGCTCACAAAAATGGCATGACACTGTATGAAGGCGAGTGCACGTTTGTAGCGTAATGGCTGGCATTTTGTGGACATTGTTACGATGAATCAGGTACCCAATCGGATTAAAACAAAGACAGAAGCCATAGATAAAATGATGAGTCTCCAAAACAGGACAAAACTGAACAGAGATTTTAGAATGAAATGGCAACATACCTCGTCATCTTCGTTTCCAATCATCCTGACATATGTTACACCCATTCACACTCCTGTTGTCTAAGAAGCAAGATTATGCTTGGAGTTCTCCGGAAAAGCAGACATTCAACAAGTTCCAATCAATGCTTTTATTTCGCCCTGTTCTTGCAGTTAATAAACCGTCAAAAAACATACGTTAACACCGATGCTTCACGCACCTTTCCTCTCCCCAGGAAGAATATTTCGCAACTGTGAGAGTACGTGCGCAAACGCATGTATGTAAGCGTTGGATGTACCTCACCGAAAATATTTCTCGCCATACCCCTTTCACTGACCTACGTTTCTTCCGCGTGAGCTGTAGTAGGGAAACCTCAATTATAATCATTATGAACAAACTTCCAGTGTTTATGCCTGCGTTTCCTCTGCGTTGTCTACAAGCCATCTTATTAAGCGTGCTGCGCCCACAGTATAGGTTCGTCGGCTCACAAGTGATTTGAGAGGAATTGCAAAAAGCGATTGTTCTAGCTTTTGGGGTGTTAAACTCGCGGATGCATCACTTAGTTTCTTTCTGACACAGTTCATTGATTAATGCGGGAGTTAGGCATTTGACAACCCAAAACGACCACATAATTATAAAACACGCCGTAGTGAAAGGCTCCGGAAATTTTGGCCTCCGGAGCTTCATTACCGGCACACAAATTTCAGCACGCGGGCCTACAGCATTTTCGCCTCCATCGAAAATGCAGCTGCCACAGCCGGTATTCGATTCCACGACCTCCTTGCTAGCAACCGAGTACCTTAGCCACTAGACCACTGCGATGGGGCTCTCCGACACAAAGCTTCCAAGGAATGCATTAGTCAACATGCCACTAAATAACCTATTGCTGATTTTCAGAACCTACCAAGGCTAATTGAATAATAATTATTTGATGATTTATGAGTTTCTTATATAAGATGCAAACACTTTCTTGATGGGCCCAAAGTTTCATGGTGGCGGCTTCGGTTTCCACAATAAAAATATGCATGCGCAACTTTTTTTTCTCCTTTTTTCCTCCCTCTTTAAGCCTCACAACATGGACGGGAGGAGCGTCTGCTAACGTGCACTTGCTCTCCCCTCATCCAAACATTTCACCACGTAGCAGATACACCGCCATTGCACATGCGCTTACTGTCTCCCTCTTTCTCCTCGCTTACCCTCCCCCTATCTTGCCTCGCCAGACAGACGTACGCAGCGTATTCTAGCGAGTTTCTTGATGAAAAATCACAGCATAATCACGGGGGTATGATGAAGAATGGTGCGTAGGGTCCGTCAATATGCCTGCGCTTCCGTCCTTCCGTTTATCACTAGCAGATGTATTAATGTATCAGGTGTATAGCTCTACAAGCAGACGTATCAAATTATGTGCAGTGGCAGACGCAACAAATTCTGTGGCTGAACATAGCCGTCATTTAAAACGCGAACCGAACAGGACCAATTCGCGGAGGAGTACAGGAGCAGTAGCTCAATCCCTGTAGCTTTCCCTTCATTGCCATAGAAAGGTGTCCCCGTGCATAGTAGCTAGCGTGCACGGTTAAAAAAAAAGGCAGATCTCACGTACAGTGGCAATCGGTGATATGCGAAGCATGAATAATAAATGTTCACATGTCACTTTAAAATGTGCACGACGTTACGAGGTCGAGGTAACTGATGCCGTACATGACTTCCGTGTCAAGATTGTCGTTTACCAAGATTGTCGTTTACATGTGTCGTTTACCATCGTCATCTATTCACGAGCTAGCGAAACGGCCGCGAGCACGCTATAAGCGTGGTATGTTTTCATATACTTAGATAACACACGTGTCACGATTATCATGTTTGCACCAGGGCGGCGAGCCCTGGTGCAGATTATCATGTTTGCGAAAGGGCGGCGAGCACATCATGAAGGGCCGAATATACTCCAACGTAGTGTTGACTCACGCGCACGCTGGGCACAGTGACGCTACGTTAGGAAAGCATGACCACTCTATAGTCTGACGCAAGGCGCCATCAACGTCCGTCGGCGCGGCCCGACCGCAAGAGGCGCGAATTGCGACATGCTGCATTACGCACCACTGCGTTATCCAGACGACACTGCG